CTACTTGGCCGATTGCGCTGAAAGTTGGCATGTAGGTAGGCACCACTAGGCACTGCATATCTATGTGCCAGAGTTGGGTTGCTGCTGCACGTGCGCACGTGCTAGGGTTGTTTCCAGTTCTCGAGAACGACTCGAACGATTGCGCTCAAATTTGGTACACAGTTAGAGATCGGTTAGTAAGGTGCCGTGCAAAGGCTATTTTTCTGTTGGCTAACCTGCGACCGCCTGGGGGGGGGTCGGATCCGACCCCCCTCTGTTTTTCTTGAATAACTAATGAACCGCTTACGCTATCGAGTTGAAACTTGGCATACCTTCTCCCCTATCAATTTGACGTCTCCTATGCATTTTTTAAGAAAAAAAATTCCTTTTTTAGATATATCGATTTTTGTGATGTAACTACATGGCGTTTTTAGTCAAAAAGTGGTAAATGTTAAAAAATCGCCAAAAATCAAAGTTTAAAGCAAATTACAAATTAAGGACATGGACAGACGCAGCTCAACGAGTTCTTTAAAATGGCCATCTCGGATTTTCCATAAAATGCGTTTTTTATCCCTAAAAACTCAAAAAACTATATTTTTTGGAAAACAGCTCATAAAATCAACTTTTGAGAATTTCCAAAAAACCGGAATATATGTCATAGAGCTCCATTAGAACATTAGATGTCCCAAATTTCAACTTTCTATCTTGATTTTTGACCCCCAAATTGTAAAAAATAGCTCCAACATGCATAGAGCATGGTGACGTCATAAGCATTTTCGTGAATTAGAGGCACTTCTGAACATCGCATGTGAAAACAAATGGCACCACTAGATTCCTATTTCCTGGGACAAAGCTCGTCTAGAAAAGTGCATTTTTATGTCAAAAATAAAAAGTTGAAAAATTGACCTTTTTTCTTAGCCCTCGTTTAGTTATGTATGGTATAAACGATTTTGTATGCTTTCAATGCACACTTATCACCAGCACAGTGAATAGGGGTCACATATAACCATCACCATCGGATTCGGCGTGAAAAATAAGCCATAAAACATGTGTCGCTCGCCCATGAAGTAGAAAGTGAAAACCGTGACCTTTCGTGACCTGACCTGACCTTGACCCGTACTTAGTATGACCCCTATACGCACATGGTACCTTCACTAGGTCTTTGAGGTCATTTTTGGTGAGTTTCGAGCAGCAGCTATCGATTCCGCTGTCCGTAAGCCTAATCATGCAAAACCCCAGAATTTGACCTTTGACCTGACCTTGACCCGAAAGTTGACCTAAATTTTAAAATCTTGAGAGTGCTTTGGAAAGGTCTCTACGAGACCTTTCCTTTCGAACGCCGCCTCGCGGGGCTCGATGCGACCATTGGTTCTCGAGATAACAGGGGGGGGGGTCGGATCCGACCCCCCCCCCCAGGCTGTCGTGGGTACGGAAATGCCCAGGCGGTGCCGGGTTAAACTGGCCTGTGATCGACGAAAAAATACAGGAATCCTTTGTCCTTCGGGTGCGTTTCGTAAAAACTCAAGTAAGCGGTCTCACTCTTCAGACGTTATAATTTGACGAATATCGATAGTGCTCTTTGGAAGGAGTTATATTGTCGTGCCTCGAAAATCTCGCTGAACGTAATATAGGTACACAAGAAATGCTATCGGTCAACGCGTATTTTTCCATCAAAACTGATGTGCCAATTTACAATGAAAAGACTCCAAGGTGTAAAGAAGCACGGCACAGGGTAAGTCAATGCTCCTTATTTTAATGTACAGTCCACAGTAGAAGTAATGTGTGGTTTCAGTCATGGGTATGTTCTGCTTCTGAAGCTTAGGAACGATTAGCCAGACTACAATGAAACTTTGAATGTAGCTTATATGTATCGTCACCCTTGCAGCTGCAACTTTAGCTATTGACATCTTCTTTTCGATCACTCCGCATTAAACAATCGCCAGTCAAAGCCAACCGTTGAGATTGGTACAACCCTACATTACTTTAGCGGTGGGCTATAAGTATCGACAAACATCGGTACCTATCTTGAGCTACCTTTCCAGCAGACATGTGCATGGATCGAGTGAAGGATCTATGATTTCAGTGGATCCCACAGCAAACGACAAACTAGGATCTTGATCTGCGATCAAATTCGTCGAACTCGGCTCCTGGCCACGTAGCGACATGCGGTAAGCGGCATCCGAAAGAGCGTCAAAAATAATGACTGAAATACTTCGGTCATTTTAGGACAGGTCAAAGGTCAGGTCACTAGAGGTCATCAAAGCCCAAACTGTGTATATTTCAACAATTTTTTAAACACCCGACGCATAAGTCGGGAACCAAAGGAGCTAGAGCGCCGCGGAAAGCGAATTCAATAGCTCTTTTACAGGCCTTTCTGAATATTGTTCAAAGATTTTGGCCTCAGGTCAATGGTTTAGCCTCCGAGGGCAAAAACTAAAAAATGACCGTTTTTCGGCAATAACTTTTGACTTAAGAGAGCCTGGACATTACTTTTGTCAGCATCGTGTTCCTCTCGTCCAGACGCGTTGAATGAACTATAAGTTGACCAATGTAGATATGTTGGACAGGTACACAGTGGGGATTTTTCCGATCTAGCGCGTATTAATTCCAAAAATCTTTTTTGGATTTTTGTTTATTTTTTGTGTCAGTGGGGCTAAGAAATGTCTGAATTTTTCATATATGGCATTGTTTTATCTGTATGTCCTCGGCAAGAATAGGAAAAATGCGCCCAAAGTTCACACTCATGCGTGATTACTCAATGGGCTCAGTAAGGCCCGAAAGTATAGCTCAATTTCATTGTCCTGTCCTGTTGGTTTTATTCTTGCGAGGTCTTAAAGTTGCATATCTTCTGAGAGGCACCTTTATTAGGAATGGAATGGCAAACAGAAAGTATGCCACAACCTTACTCAGGTCACAAAAAATGACATTTACAAAAACCCCTTACATATGGGGCATTCCACGATCCATACAGAGATCCATACATCCATCGTGAGATCCATACAGATCATAGGTCCTCCACAAATTTTTGCCCACTGGATCAACAGAGATCATAGATCCGACCCCTAAATTTTGTCGAGAGATCCTTTCGGATCATAAATCCAACCCCTGAATTTTGTCGAGAGATCCACTCGGATCATAGATCCGACCCCTCTATTTTGTCGAGCGATCCACTGAGATCATAGATCCAGCTCTCGGATCCATGCACATGTCTGCCCACAAGTCAATCGACAATCGACAACCAACAAATGCAATCGACACGAGCGTCGAGCACCCTTCCACACAAGCAACTGCCGAGGCGATTACACGGACCGCGCTCCTCTCTCGCAGCTGATTGGTCAGCTGCCGAACCGCACGGACGTCAGCTGCACGGCCCCCGCCCGGCCGACCTGACCGGGGTCGGCCGGGCGGCGACCTAGCGTCAGTAGAACTGCAATAACTTTTGCCGGCAGTGTGATGCCGACCTAATTTTTTCAGCAAATGAATCACAACTGTACGGTATATGTTATGGACGTTGTCTCGATGTGAAGCACGCTGTGTGTTTTGGTAGGCCTATGTAAATATTGAAATCCTCAAGCCCTTCTGCTTCGTGCAAGTGTGCAACAATTAGCTTACACTAACTGAGTGGGAAGGTTTTTAGATGCACTTTTGTTACCAATGGATTCCGCACATTTTCCCCTTTCAGCTGATATCTTACTTACGCATTTTCAAGCAAAGAATATGACAGGAGACTCGTCAACATTTACATGAAAATCGCAGCACAAGTTCGGTCTCACGGAGCAAAACAAAACGGTGTACTTTGGGAGCCCACCAATCTGTGCCAGAATGAGTAATATTTTTTCTGGATGATATTTCATACAGTCTGATCAATTTACGACCAGAAAATGTGAGAAAAGCACGCTTTAAAATTTGTCGAAAATTAGGGTATTGGCCACTTCTGAGCCCGGATAGCGGCTGTGTGCAGTGGCACCGCCCGGGCGCAACTTAAAATATCCGGAACTCCAGATTTGACCCGATACTGATCGGATGATCGGTGAGACCGTCTCTTGTCTTGTCTTTTCGCACTCACTCAGGGGGGGGGGGGGATCCAGGGAAGCTCCAAGGGGAGGGTCATAATCGAAGTGGTGCCCCTCCCTATACCCAAAATTAAAAACTCAATCGATTTCGGCCACTTAATTTTGGTGGCGCCCTAATTTCAGTATTGGGGGGGGGGGGGGCCTGTGGTGCCCCTGCTAGGCCGCAGGTGCCGCTGGAAGGGACGTGGTGCCGCTGACAAGCCTGAAGTGCCCCTGACAGGCCCAAGGTGCCCATGAGAGGCCGGCAGTGCCCTTGCGAGGCCGGTGGTGCCCCTGCCAGGTCTGTTGTGCCCCTGGCAGACCTGTACGGCTCTTGCTAGGCCGATGGTGCTCCTGACAGGACTGTGGCGCCCCTGACAAGCCTGAAATGCCCCTGCGAGGCCGTTGGTGTCCCTGACAGGTCTGTGGTGCCCCTGGCAGACCTGTGGTGCTATTGCTAGGGCGATGGTGCTCCTGACAGGCCTGTGGTGCCCCTGCCTGACAAGCCTGTGGGTCCCTGACAGGCCCGTGGTGTCCCTGCTGGGCCTGTGGTGCCCCTGGGCCCAGACAGGACTGTGGTGCTCCTGACAAGCCTGAAGTGTCCCCGAAAGGCCCGTGGTGCCCCTGACAGACCCAAGGTGCCCCTGCGAGGCCGGTGATGCCCCTGACAGGCCTGTGGTGCCCCTGACAGACCTTTGGTGCCCCCGGGCCCCAGGGGAGGGGGCGGGGGCACTGGTCTTCCCCCTTGGATCCCCCCCCACGTATGGCGCGTGTCCTCGGTGTGCAGACCCTGTGTGACGTATGGCGCGTGTCCGCGGCGTGCAGACTGTGTGACGTATGGCGCGTGTCCGCGGCGTGCAGACTGTGTGACGTATGGCGCGTGTCCGCGGCGTGCAGACTGTGTGACGTATGGTGTGTGTCCGCGGCGTGCAGACTGTGTGACGTATGGCGCGTGTCCTCGGCATGCAGACTGATGAACCTGGAGGGCGCGCCTCTGGCGTACAGCGGCGGCGGCTCGGAGCAGCAATGTGATGTGGTGGCCGCCATCGCCTCCAATATCTGGGCTGCCGGCACCAAGCACGGACTCACCGTGTTTGATGATCAGCTGGCGCTGCAGCTGTTCGATTGTGAGGTGAGACGGCGAGTACACCCTTCCATCAGAGGTGGTCTGCTGTAACCCTCAGAGTGTGGCTGCAGTCTGCTGAAGTGTTTTCGATGGGTTTCCGGTGGCGGAAAGAATAACTCGGAATTTGTGCCTCTCTCCGACCGTACGAAACGTAATCATTTCCTCGTGGTTGTTTCTGCGTAGCTGATATTTTGCGAAGGTTCAAAAAGAGAATCTTTGCTACTGGCTACCAATAAAACCAGCCACCGCCGCCGCAGCCGCTGCCCTGAACTTTCCTGATACCCGCCAGCTGCCCTTATACCCCTGAACATTTATCAATTGGGGGCGCATTCCACGTCAAATGGAACAAAAATCGGCTGTTTTGCACCTTACCATTAGCGATTTCATTCTAAATTTGTGAGCGAGTTCCTGTGTCGCTCCGGACATTACATTGATATTTTTTTTTGCACATTTTGACCATAGGTCTTCTAAATATAAGGCATCAAATTTTTACCAAATGTTGCATCTGTATATTTTTGATCGACCATAACTTTGGTTGTACTTGTTGGATTTGAATGAAATAAACCGCACTGTTTAGGTAATTTCTTAAACATTTGTTTAAAATTGCACGTACCTAAAAATATGACCTTGAAATTTGCTTAACTCTGTTCTTAACCCGGCAGTTGCTGGGGTATTTCGCCACCCACCGTTTGCTAGGGGGGGGGGGGGGGGGCGTTAAACGCCCCCAGCCGATAACTCGAGAACCAATAGGCGCAGCGAAACGCACGAGGCGGCAAACGAAAGAACGCGACGAGACGCTTCAGATGAGTACTTTAAAATTGAATTTTGAGGTCACAGGTCGGGTCAAGGTCAGGTCAAACACCTGAAATCGGGCTTTGAGTAGCATGGATTTCAGGACTTCGCAATGGGCGCCTCTCGTCATAAACTCTGTCAAAACGGTGCACACTCCATCATATAAGGCCTACAAGAGTGTCAGCTCCATGTAGGGGTCAATCAAGCATAGGTCAGGGTCAAGGTCAGGTCAACCGGGTAGGCACATATCCACGAAAATCAAAACTGATATTCGCAGCCTGTGACACATGTTTTATGGGTAATTTGGAGCGTAGAACACGATGGTGACATTCATTTTATCATATGTGTACGTATTTGGCTCAAAAACTTCAATTTAAGAAATGCATGTATCATGGTCGTGAAGTAGTCACGAGAAATTGTCCAGATTCAGTTCAAGATTTTGGAAAATGCGAAACGACCATCAATAATCGAAGATAGCCATTTGATTGCTCATGGTATTGGCAGTCTAATGGCGTTTACGGCATGTCTTTATGTCTATTCTGTGATTTTATATGATTTTTTGAACATATGCCGTTTTTGGTCGAAAACTCAGAAATCATGACGTCACTAAAACCTCGATATCTCAAAAAAAATTTTCCGACCGATGTTTTTGAAACTTTGTCACAATAAACTTCAATCAATTTCCTACAGGTCCCCAAAATTTGGCGCGCCTGCGGCGCGCCGTTTTTATGCTATGGCCCGGCGAAAAAAGTGGGGGCGTTTAACGCCCTCCCCCCAGCAACTCGCGGGTTAAGCACAAAAATTGATATAGCAAAAAACGCCACCTTTGATTTGGCTCATTTTTATATATTTTATTGTTTACCATATTCTTAACAACATGTGAAAAAATGAGAGTGGGTCATTCAGAAGTTTTAAAGAAAATGGCTATATGCAAACGTATATTTAGTAACCGCGCGTGACCTTGAAGTAACGGTGATCGGTGATATGTTGAAAATTAGCCGTTCAGTTGAACTGAATGCAAGCAATTTACCAATTACTTCAGGGAGTTCACTAGTGCGTGCAGAGTCACACCTATACCCACTAATCCCATTTCTTGATCTTGATTATTGATCCTTCGCCCTCTCCGGCCGAGAGGAGGCACGAGTGCAAACCCCATCGCTCGACGGTTTTTTGCGATCACTCGGTACGCGCTGGTCACGGAAAAATACAAGCCGGTATGCTTGACCTTTGATTTAAGCTGGATCTCGTGGCATCAATTTTTCAACTCAGGTCAGGTCACTGAACTATGACGCCATAAGTAAACCTCTGTATGGTCCTAAAATATCGCAGTCACAACGCCCTCAAAGACAATAGATCTTTCACAAGAAGATGAAACTTACAGGATTGAGTGATCTTCCAAGTCATCAAAACTTGTACGTCTCGGATTTTTGATAAATTTCACCTGAGGTCAGGTCAGTCACGTGACCTTACCATTTCAAGTCAATGGGGAAATATGGAAACATCTATTTTTGGGCAAGCAATGATTCAAGACTATCCCAAGCACATGGAATCAAGCTTCCATACACACCTTGCGACGTTCGATGCAAAATGCTTGCATTGTTGACTTCGCGTGACGTCATATATGACGTAAATAAGGTCATTGAACTTTTCCCATCAATAATTCCTAAACGAATTGAGCTATCCAGTTGAAAAAGCCACCAATGGACTCAGAAGACCTGCCAGATCGAGCGGTATGCAGCATGAATTATTTTGACCAGTTTTGTGTCCTGAGTGGCTTTAACCTGCCCTTGACCTAAAGGTCAACGCACAAGGTTGATCTTCTCCAAGCAAAAACGGTCAGGTCAGCTCACTAAACTGAACCATTTGACGTGTTCTGAGCAGGGAGATTACTATGGTGTCAAAATCGTGACTGTGTGACAATTTGTTTGGTCATTTATTCACCAAAAAAACGAACTCTACCTTGGAGCACTTGGCATGATCCCAGAGCTCAGCGACTAGCCTGACGCCTTAACATCGGGTACAAGTTGCTACGCTTCGTAACGGCGCAGATGGTTATTTAGGGGCAAAACGATGACGGGGTCGTAGGTGCCCTCCCCCCCCCCCCCCCCACACACACACACTACCCGCATGTGGAAACCGATAGGTCCGGACACGTTCACAGATACTGCATATAGGAGACCCGGACAGATTACAACCGAAGTAGGTATAGGCGTGGAAACAATGAGCATCAAATACAATCTCACCATGCACCTGGTCATAATTTTCTCTGGGTATATATCCCATCTATTTGTACTTAATAGTATATTGTAGGGGAGAGTGGGGCAATGGCGACACCATAAGCATTTTGCTCAATAGCTTAGCCATTTGAAGCTATTTTATGGTGATTTTGACTGTGGTTATAGCCAAAGGAATAGGCTTTCAGATAGCACCCAGTTTTAGTATCTCAGATCACTGATGACAGATTCAGAGCCTACGCGAAAATGTGGTGAAAAATGGTGGTGCAAAAAAGCGAGGGGTAATGCCGGCCACTAAGTGCAATAGCACAAAAGTCGAAATATCGTCACTGGTATTCATCCTTAAACCGTTCTTTCTGTTATGGGTTCGGTATTGCTTCGTACTGACGGTAAATTTGTTAGAAATTATCATTCACACATGTTTCACTTTCTATTTCAAAATCATCGTTTTTCACTAGCTGTCACAGCAGCTGTTTGTTCGTTTTTACAGGTGCTCGTGTTTATCCGCGGGCTAATCCTCATTAAAGTCCTTCATTAGACAGATTATCTACAACAATATCCCCCACAGACAAAGTTTCCGCCCCGGAAACTGATCAACCTCTGCATGGCCCGCGGACATTGATGCACCAGGTAAGACGGTACACTTTAACACTTTACACATATGTACATTCATACATGAGCAATGAACACTTCAAACCACAGGCATTACCTAGGAACACAAAATGTACATGCCACTTCTGGATGGTTGTGATCTTTTCCGGGTCACACTGCACGCCTGCCGCACTGACGGTGAAGCCGAGGAAGCTTACCTCCCTTTTGCAGAGCTGCAGCTTCTTCAACGAGACAGTTAAGCCCGACTTTTGCAGCGCAGCTAAAACTGCATCCAAATTGGTGCGCATCTCGTCCAGAGTTTTGGAAATAACCATTACGTCATCAAAGTATTTGATGACTGTCTCTGGGGGAACGTCGGCGAGGACTAGCCGAAGAGCACGATTGAATGAGTGTGGGATACCCTGTATCCCGTACGGAGCAGTAGTGTAACGGAATAGGCCAAACTCCGTTGCGATAGTTGTTTTGGCTCTATCTTCTTCTGCTACTGGGAGCTGATGGTACGCGCTTTTGAGATCTACCGATGTGAAATAGACGGCTCCGCTTAACTTCTGTAGGCATGTGTCTATCCTGGGTATGACCTGGACGGAGGGGGTGGTGATGCGATTGAGACGACGGAAATCTCCACATATTCGGACCGGACCGCCGTTGGCCCGTTTCACCAGCACCAAGGGAAACGCCCATTCGGAGTCCGGGACGGGCTCCAGCACTCCCTGTTCCACCATGTCATCTATTTGTGATTTGACTTCCCCTGAGAGGTGGGCTGGTATGGGACGTGGGCCCTGAAACACGGGCGGGTGGGTTCCAGTGGGTATTTTGTGCTCCGCGACATCAGTGCGGCCCAGTCCTGCAAATACCTGCCTGTATTTATGGAGCAGGGCCATAAACTCGGAACGTGTCGGGTGTGCCACAGCCTGATCGGGACAGAATTCTGTTTCAGTTTCAGGCACCTCACTGAACGAGAACTCATCTAAGGATTCGAAATTGGCGATCTTGGTACCTTCGTAGAGGGTGATGGGGCTGTCTGAAAGGTTGCCGAGTCTGACTGGTACGGTATTATCGTGCACAGTTACCGCCAAACGGGCTACACACAGCTCCGTTTTGTTAATGAACTCCCCGTCACCTTCCACCAGACCTGTCAGTCCCAGGTCACCATCAGGCATCCCCTTACAGCAGAGTGAGTGGGCCAGCTCCTTAGCTCGGCTACATTCAGCTAGAGACACGGTAGCGGGCAAAATAATTTCACTGTTGGCTGGCACAGCGATTGTGCGGGCGATCAGCACGGCTCCCGTGCGGTGCCCCACTTTTTGCACCGGATCAACCTGTGCTGCGCCAGTCGCATGCCGTGGTAGCTCCTGCCCTAATACCCAC